CATGTGTAATTTCCATTCCAAATATTAATCACAGTTAAATTGACGGGAGATGGCAGTAAAACTCTGGAGCTGAGATATCACCAGCTACACTGCCGTTCCAATTGTAGAATGATTGCGCTGCGTTCTGGGGAAGTCTGGACTTCCGTCTAATTTTACAAAGTACAGACTAGCAAGAACACGAGTACAGACTTGCATACTTGAGTACTTAGACACCGCCTGTGTTTCCGTCTGTGTTTTCCAGCTGACAAACTGGCCTGTAATGAGTGTGAATGTCAGTGTGCTGGGGGCCTATATGTGAGTATAGCGCATTTAGTATATTTACATAGCGTATTTCTGATAAGATATCAGTGAGTTAACCACTAAGACTTAATATCATTTTAAAGGGTATTCAAAGAGTATATTTCATTTACTGAATGAAACTGTAATATCATTTGAGTTAAAAAGAAATGTGTTTTTTGTACATTGTCTGTCCTACCCCTATGTTCAGTAAATGTTTAGTTTCTGTGCTAAAGAGTGGTCTGGGGTCAATTCTTTTTTTTTAATGTTTATGCCGGGGTTTACTGTTAGTATCCCTGATTCCTGTCCATACGAGAACCATTTGTGGTATCTGTGCTATAAAGAACCCAACACCCCAACTAGGAAGTCGAAACTGAGGCAAGTGGGGTTAGACTCAGTATTACGAGTGGGTTGCTACATGTACAAGGACTTCTGACTTTAAACAAGAGCAATAAACTACAAAAAATCTGAGACCAAGTCTATCAAAATGTCCAGCATGGATATACGAAGAATGAAGAGGCACTGCATTGTATATAAAATGAAATATACTTCGGGAAGACTACTACATTTATTGTGGTAACCACACAGGTTTAAAGCTGTTTTGTGGGAGGAGCAAGAGCTGGTCTGGTGTTTTGGGGAAGTCAAATCCATGGTCAGAACTGCTTCAGTAATGCCTACCATGAGTCTTATTTTTAATTAATTGAAAATAATAATCAAAAGAAAAAGTGTCAGGCAATATTACAGGCAATCACATATGTATATTTCACATTGACCAATACCTTTTTTTTTAAACTTTTTTTTTTGACAAAAATAGTAAGTCTGAGCAAATATTTAGGAATATGTTGCTAATAATTGTGTAATGAACAATCAATACTGCAAGAACCTTCAGAATACTGTCAGAAATTGGGATTTTATGACTAGTGGACAGAAGTGCCTCTGAAATAAAGACTTCTGTTTTTAAGAAAGACTAAAAATCTCAATTTTAAGAAATGTACCATTATGTTGTGTAAATTAAAATTAAACAGTGAATAAATATCACCAATAACCTCCTATACTGGTTATTTCTATGAAGACATTTCTATAATGTTTCCCAAAATTCTATATCATTAATGCTCATAAGAACCTTAAACATGTCATTTGGAAGTTTTTGTCCTACCAGCATGGAAGGATATTGGTATGTCATAGACACAAAATGGCTATATATATATGTAAGTTTATCAGTTCATAAAGTAATTTTCTAAAAAGAAACGATAACAAAAACAAAACGTGACTATAAAAAATGTTATGACTGTTTTTCAGAGTAGAATCATCCACTCAAAGGTAAATAAAAGGTCACTTAACTATTGCTAAGCTTAGTTTGTGCAACAATATAGATTTTAAATGACAGTGTATGGACATTTTTGAATCCTGACCTGAGAGTTTTAAGTCTACATTGTGGAGTCTCCACTGCGCCAGACAGAACCTTCACGCCTGAATCGTGCACGTTGTTGTTACTCAGGTCCAGCTCTCTCAGACTAGAGGCCCGGGAGCTAAGAAACGAGGACAGAGCTTCATAGCTTCTCTCTGAGAGGTTACAGGCGCTCAGTCTGAAAATTAATTAAGAACACAAATAATATGTTTCATATATTTAATCACTTTTTTTTCAGTAATACTTCAGGAAACCTCATAAGATGCAACAACAAATGGATGGAGTTTAATTGGTTAATTTTGAGAAACAAAATATCTCTTGATCTGACCGCAGACTAGTCAGCTTGCAGTTCAGATTCTGCAGTCCAGCAGAAAGACTGTCAGAGCTTCTCAATGAGAGGTTACAAAGACTCAGTCTGAAAATGAAAACATGAACAATGAAACAACACTTGTTAAACTGTAATCAGGGTTCAGTAAGGAGCTACTTACTACTACATTTAGCGCTATTTACTTGCAATGTGTTTTAAAGAATCCTTATTATCTGAGGTTAAACAGGTTAAAAATATGACAGTTTCATTTAAAAACAACAATTGATAAAGCTGACATTTATGGGCTAAATTTTTAACTGTTTAATTTTGTCAACTGAAAAAAAAGACCAAAAGAAAAAAAGTGAATATACTTGATCTGACCTCAGAGTTCTCAGTTTACAATGTGGACTCTCCACTGCTTCAGACAGAAGCTTCACTCCGGAATCCTCCATGCTATTGTTACTCAGGTCCAGCTCTCTCAGGCTTGAGGACTGGGAGGTGAGAACTGAGGACAGAGCTCTACAGCTTCTCTCTGAAAGTTCACAGATGCTCAGCCTACAAAAAAATAAGAAAAAATACAGAAAGATTATATTTATGGCATTTGTTCAACCTAGACAATATAAACTAATATATTGGAGTCCACTAGAAGTTATGGTTAACTAGAAATCTCTTAAGTCATAAAATGAAGGAAACTATTTAAATTTCCTTAAAATCCTAATTACACTTCTGTATTTGCATATAAATAAGTTACAGGCTGTTCAGTGCGCAGGGTCTTTTAGGAGATCCATCTGTGGTGATCTGAATTAGGCTCTCCTGCTCAGACGCTGATGACGAAGTAGGCACGGAGGTGAATGGGTGATGTATCCAATCATTTAACCCGCCCGTCTATGAGAAGTATCAGCATAACTGCGCCGCCAGCTCCTGAAGGTGCATGTTACAGTCATGCTTTACACTGTTTGATAATGTGTGCTTCTGTGTTGTTTTTGACCATGCAGTTCTTCCAAAGGTCTAACTTCTTTATCATGGCCACAACTTTATCATAAACAATGAATATGGTTGTAGAAACGCCTTGTAATCCGAGAGTGAGTTTGTTCAGATGGGAAAATATATCACAAGATGAGCCAGGCACGTAAGGTACTCTACATCATGCAAATGTTCAGACAGCTCAAAGGGATGGTTACTGAAGAAAACTTTAAGTTCTTCCCTCAGCTCAAAGAAACAGGGCAGCACTGTACCCTCTTGAGAGCAAGCAAACCTCTGTGTGGAGTAATACAGTCTCAGGCTCGCTGCCCATTCTCACTGCACAATGCAGCAAATAAGTGGGAGTTCAACAAGTTAACAATTTTTACAGTGGTGTCCAAGACATGTTTCAGACAGACAGGTATTCCCTTTGCAGCAAGCGCCTCTCTGGATGCTGCAGTGTACCCAAGAAGCATCTGGCGCTACTGCCTGCACACACAAACCACACCTCTGTGTCTCCCAGTCATGGCCCGTGCACCATCAGTGCAGATGCCAACACATCTGTCCCATACGAGTCCATGTGTGATCATAAATGTGTCCAGCTTTTGAAAAATATCTACTACAGTTGTCCTTTCTTCGAGTGGTTTACAGAACAGCATGTTCTCCTTGACGGTTCCTTCATGAATGTTGTGCAAATATACAAGGAGCCACATCCGTGGACTCATTCAGTTGTATTGCGTAAAATTCACTGTGGTGTATGTGCTGAAGTAGCTGCTGTAAAACATTTTCTGATGTTGCATTGATGAGACAGCATTGTTTGATGATGGAATGGACTGTATTGTCTTTTTTGCCTTTTCCCCCAACATTCTCACTACCATATCTAAAGCAGCAGGGAGAATGCGGTCCTCCACAATAGTGTGGGGTTTGTTGTTTTTAGCCACTCTAAAACTGACCATATAAGATGCTTGTGGTTTGTTTTTATTCATAAGATCTGGCACTCGAATGCAGCTTTTAATTGTTGAAAGTGATTTTAGCTGTCGCTCAAAATATTCTCATGGTTTATTTTTCAAATGGGGATGATTTGTCTCTAAATGTCTGTGCAATACTGAAGGTTTCATTGCGTTGTGAAACAATACTTGCACAATTATCACATTATGGCTGGGGAAATCCACAGTATTTATACATGTGAACATCAGTGAAATATAATTGTCATCATATTTGCGCTTCTTTGTGTTACAGTCAGAGGTGACATGCTTTCTCCCACTTTGAGGCTCCACATCAGACCCTTCATTACTTTCCACATGACTGTCTCCTTCTATGCTAGATACTTGGCTAGTAACCACAGATACATCTGTGCTGGCATCCCAATCTGACAAACACATTGTTGAACAATCACCTGCGCGGTCACTGGCAAATGCATGTTCAGATATGAGCTGATTGGTGGTACTGGCCGCTGTTTCGGTGGCAGAGCATTTTTTTCTGGTTAACCATTTGTCCATTTCTTCAACAGTGCAACTTCAACAGTCAGGCGTCAGTCAATTGGGGAAGTATTTATGTATTTTGTATGTATTTTGTCAGGGCAATTGTTTTGCTAAACACCAGAGGGTGGTATATACACATGTATGTAATAGCCACATTAAACTGTATTAGTGCAAATTTAGGCTTTTTGAATTGGTAATTACCCCGTCCCACGTATCACCTACAGCCTCTCCCATACCCCCGAGGGTAGGCGTACCCTAGTTTGGAAGCCAGCGCAATAAAGAATAATAATATAGAAAAAAGTTAACTCCCATATTGAACTGAGCAGTGCTCTAATGCAGAGAAATTACTTTAGAACACCAGAGATGAAATGAATGATAACTGAAGAGTAAACAGTAACAGAACACCGGACTGGTCCATGAGTTTTTGGTACAAAGAAAACAGTTCTGGAAGGTACTTTGATAAGTGATAAACCCACAGATGTCTCAGAAATGCTGATAATTTCTGCTGCTCTGACAATTCAAAAGGATCATATACTTGCAGATGATCATTCATTTCAATTTTTTTAAGGTTTTTTAATGGATCAGCACCCATCACGATGTTTATATTTCTTAAATTGTTCACTTGATTGTTTTTTTGTTAAGTAGAATCAATATTTCAAAAATAAAAGGATGAGTACATTTTTACTTACAGAGCTTTGTTGGAGGCTTTGATCACCGGTAGGAGTTTTAGAAGAGCCTCCTCTGAAGCAGAGTATTTCTTCAGGTCAAACACATCCAGATCTTTTTCTGATGACAGTAAAATGAAGAGCAGAGCTGACCACTGAGCAGGAGAAAGTTTCTCCGTGGAGAGACTTCCTGATGTCAGGCACTGTTGGATCTCCTCCACTAGAGAACAATCATTCAGTTCATTCAGACAGTGGAACAGATTGATGCTTTTCTCTGCAGACAGATTCTCACTGAGCTTCTTCTTGATGTACTGGACTGTTTCCTGACTGCTCTGTGAGTTTCTTCCTGTCTGTGTGAGGATTCCTCGTAGGAGAATCTGACTGTTCTGTAGGGAAAGACCCAGAAGGAAGCGGAGGAACAAGTCCAGGTGTCCATTTGGACTCTGTAAGGCCTTGTCCACAGCACTCTGGTGGAAGTGCTTAAGTGTAGATTGTCCCGTTTCAGACTTCTGGGAGGTTGTTTGTTCTTCCAGCAGATT